TCTCTCTCTCTCTCTCTCTCTCTCTCTCTCTCTCTCTCTCTCTCTCTCTCACTCACTCACTCACACACTCACTATCATAAGAGTACATTTTGTAACTTCTTTATAAATTTGATAATAACTGCATTGTATTTGTAAAACTCATTTAATTTAACGCTTACGATTGTTAGTGATCATATAAAAATCTCTTCATTAATTATAAAATCGGAGATGCCTAAATTAATAATTTACAAAATTATATTGTAATAAAAGGTTATTCAAATATTTCCTTAAAATTACTATCTGTTATTTAAATAGAAATATATTACTATGATTAATTGTCAATTGTATTGTACTGTTAATGACATTTAAGTACAGAATTGGTTTTATTTGCAATAATAATAATTGCAATATTAAACCTTTGATAATAAATAACATTTTTTAAAATTAAGAAAGGCTTTTTATCAATACAGTATATTAGTTTAGTGATAAATAATACACTGATAATTAAACCAAATATACCTTAAATAATATTTGGTTATTGGAAGAAAACAATAACTTAAGTAAATTATAATTATGTTTTACATATTTAATTTTCTACTAGTTACACAGATTAAAATAATATTCATAATAAACATTAAATTTATAATAAAATGCATTTAAATTTCTTATTTATGCGACAATATTAACCCGAGTATTGAGTATTGTATTGGATGTGATTCTTCTGGAAGTCTGTCTCCAAAGACTACAACAAATCTATTATAATAAATACAGTAATCATTGAATAAACAAATTATTTATATAAATATATAATGAGTTAATGAACTAAAGAGACGGAAGTTTGCGTCCGATATAAAGAAGAGCTGTTGTGTTGAGTATTGGCTGATATACCGAGTCTTTAGCCCTCTTTGCCGTGTCTTTCATATACAGTAGTTTTAAACTGAAGAGTAAATTATAATTAAAAAGTTACTTATGAGGTTGTGTGAACCCTTATGGCCAACTATAAATACAATACTTATTATTATGGAACATAACTATTAATGTATATCATTTATATTTAAAATATTTTCATATATAATACTGTAATTACCTAAATGATACTGTATGTCGACAGGACATTAAAGTGTTGTTTTGTAAATATTGAATACTTTTAAGAATCCTCAAAACTTTTTTTCTGAAAATATTTACATTTAAAAACAATTAAATTATTTGTAAAACGAACTAAATATCAAATTATAATAATTAATCAATTGTTAAAAGGTATTATAATGTTATTAATTATTTTATTTATAATTAATTTCAATGTCTTTGTATAATAAAAGTTTTACCAGAAGTGTACTGTTAATCCCAAATGACATACAGTATCATAAATAGTAGTTTTAATCAATTAATACTTTGAATACCTTCACATTTAGTGATATAAAGTTGAGGTTTAAATCCAGTGAGAAATAAGTTACAAAATAATTTATAAAATGAGTTAATATTTATTAATTCAATTTAAAATCGCAATTTTTTATTAATTATTAGTTTTATTCCACACTCATTTCGTACTCAAGTAAGTTTTATTTGTTAATTATGTTTATGTCATATGTAAATACATATTTTCTCGTTTTATATAAATTGTTGTTTTATTATCTTAAATTAAAACCTAAATGTGGTTTCAAAAGGCAACCAAACATCAAATTTTCACCACAAAACACATTTGTCTTTCCTATTCATAGGCGAGTCAGCACTACAGCCATAGGCATTGGAAAACTCTATGAAATTAGAAGCAGGCACATTTACACGGTATTTGCCCGGACTGTGAGGGTTGTATTGGATTTGATTTTTCAACGCCTCTGGTCTCCAAAGACTACACCAAACCTTTAATTACAAAAATTCAATTAAAACACACAAATAGCAAAGGAAATATTGTAAAATGAACCCACATTTGCGTGGCCTATAAAATACAACTGTTTGGCCGTATATTCGCTAACATATGGCAATCGTTGGGGCTCTCCGTGTCGTTTGACGTACAATTGAAACGCCCGGTAAGACTCACGCATACCTCCGTTGTCGGCGATATTCTCGCCCACAGTATTCTTGCCGTTCAACTGATTTGATTCATTCAATTAGTGATTAGTTATTCATACATAATATAATTAAGTGTGAAAACACACATTCATATTAACTTCGGGCACATAAATACTTGAATACTCGTTAATAAAACAGTCGGCCTTTTGCTCAAACCGTTTGCGGATGTCTTCAGACCACCAATTGATTAGATCTCCTTTGAGGTGCTTAACTGACGGAAAAATATTTGTATTAAAGTTTAGGCTTTAATTATGTGTAAAATTCGTTTTATAGTGTTTGGTATGGGAGCAGTAGTTTAGGTACCCAGTAAAGCACAGGCTGTTGGACAAACAAAAATAATTACTTACACAATTGATACAAATATAATGTAAACACATACCAAACCGATGGCCCCGTAGTTTAGATACGCCGGTCTTTGACTATCAAAAAATGGGAGTTTAAGAATTCCGGCCGGAATTGCTTTATAGAAAACAATATATAATTAGTTTTTAATGTATAACTTAAAGATATGTCATATTTACTGATTGAGTTCTGTGTGGGCTCGTAGGCGGCGTTCACAATAGCCGGAGGCATTGGCCAACTATAACAATACATGCACATTATAATCAATCAATTACTTATAGCGATTGTCTATTACCTAAGGGTGAGATTAACCGCTTCTCTAATAGATTTAAATTCACGCAAAACAAGAATATTCTGTATATAAAGCAGGCCTTCAAACGACTTCTTTGGATCTACTTTTTGTTTCTAAACAAAAATTCAAACAAATATTATTTTAAAAATATGCAACAAATCTATTATTTCTAACCAAATTATAATAGTTATCGAGTTCTTCATTGTTTAACAGCCAATCAGGAAAACCAATGTTTTGTTTAATTGCATTCAATTTGTTTAGCGATTTATTTTTAGTCGATTCGTCCAACCAATCACTTTCTGCTATCAATTCATTATACGATTCTTTAATGTCGCTAATCATAAGCGCCGCCTGAATATAGTTTACATCGTTATTAATATAAACATTCAATAATTTATAAACAATTTTAATAACAAACCTCTTGTTTATCCTTTTGGGAGAAATTATTGTCGACATAGAGACGACTCACAGCGTATTGAAGAGTAACCGATAGACTATTAGTACACGTTTGCCATAATTCGGCCTCTTTTTCCACACCAGACACCACTTTATCGAAGTTAAAGACAGTGTCTCTGAATTGTTTGGTGGTATACGAGCCCAGACTCATCACTGCCATCCATCCCAAGTAATTGGCCACTACTCGGCTCGGAGTCACTGACAACAGCTCTGTTACGCTTTTATAATACTCCATGTCTTGGATTATTACCAATTCATCGCTTTTAACACGTATTGATAAATTCAATTGTGAATATATATTGTTAGTTATGTTAAGCCAATCGACTCTATTATCAGTCAATTTGTTGAAGGCTTCAAAAGTCATTCTGTTGTACCAAACACTGGAGTCTCTCTTCTTTTCCGGCGTTAAAGACAACTATAATTACACAGAATTTTGTCAATAATTTCAAATATTAACTCCATTTGACTACAAGTTATCATACATTCGCCAGTTTTGTCTCAAAATTAACCAAATTATTGACATCTTCTTGGATTTGACTTTCATTTTTAGCGCCCAATAATATCGCCGATTGTGTTATATATTGTTTATATGCGTTCACAATATCGGGGTAAGCGCTGGTATTGACCAATTGGTTTCTGCCCAAACCAAAACTAGCTGCATCGAACTTACAACCATCATAAATTCAAAATATTAAAATACAAATAAATTGTTTTATATACAAATTTATAAAATGCAAACTCACATAAACCCTATTAACTAACGTGTCGTTAGCGTCCGGTTGTATTGAAATTGAGAAAATGGACGGCAAACCCATTTTGGCCACAACTTTGGCCAAAGAGTCCCTCCAATCGTAATCAATGTCAACATCGGAGCCAAAGTGTCCGCTTAGAGGCCATCCGCCGATTGAGTCCAGAGCTGTCAGAAGTGGCAAAACTCCGCGGCTATTAATTGTCTCTACAATCATAAAAAAAACATATATAAATATTTAGCCAACAAATCATACAAAACGGATGCAAACCCTCATCAATACAGGCTTTATAGAGATCGGAGGCATATATAACGGCGTTTGAGTCGTTATGAGTGCGACTTTGGCTCAGATATAGTTTGATATCTTTCTTGAGCTGTTCGTCGACCGCATCAAAGCTGCCGTAACGGGACTTATCGGCCGGAATACTGTGCGTCGCTTCCCATCCGCCGCACGCGAAGGCGTAGAAGTCATCGCACGGGTCGACCGACCGGTTGAGCGACGCCTCTATCAGTTTGCCGGCCCTCTCGCACGCAGGAGTCCTACAAATGTCCGGACTCTGCACTACGGCCTCACTTCCCGCCGACTCTAATGTGTTGTCTTTAATGACTGAATTTGTTTCAATCGTTTCGGTTTGCGATGAATTGGCTTTTATATCGGATTCATTAGGAATTATCATACTTTCAGTACTCCTTGTATTGACCGCATCGGTAGTACTTGAGCTAAACGTTGGACTGTTTGAGGCATTTATTATCGCTTGTATTAATGTTTTGGTTGTCGCCGTGTTTTCGGTTGAATTTTCTATAATTTTCAAACAAAATTTAGTAAAATATAAATTTTGCGCAAAAATACTTTACTGTAAATAAAAGCTGAAGTATTACCTGAACGTAAAAATATAGCCAATTGTTTATTATATGAGACAATTCCGGCCGTAAGTATGAAACCGATGGTCACGACAAAGAGGGCGCTGACCAACAAAATCAGGTATTTCTCCATTGGTTTCCTCTGAGACCATAGGTTTCGTCGAGGGCTTCACGGGATTGAAATCGACATTAAATTTGCATCTCTTTTATCAAACCGTAAACTCATTTATAAATTACAATAAAAATCAGGTATTTCTCCATTGGTTTCCTCTGAGACCATAGGTTTCGTCGAGGGCTTCACGGGATTGAAATCGACATTAAATTTGCATCTCTTTTATCAAACCGTAAACTCATTTATAAATTACAATAAAAACAACAATTTTCACATGAATTAAACATTTTTAAAAAGTTTACAAAACAATACAATAAAAAGTCAGACGAGTTATTGTTAGTATCCGTCGTTTTCCGAAACGCTATATTAAGTCATATTATATTTCAAATTCATATAACCAAACATTTTAATCCCATTTTCATGCCTTTCAACCAATTTTGAAGTATTTTAAATGTGATTTTTCATACAATTAGAGCGCAAACGGAATATTGTCTAACATTTATAGACAACTCTATTCATGACTTTACTCTCGATTTCAAAAAATTTTCACAAAAGTTTTTCTAAATTTGTTTTTTGTTTGTCTGTCTGTTTGCCAATTGATTGAATGCATAGAAACACAGTATTTACACATTAATACTACATTTAGTTTAGTCTCGTGTATATAAATTTAAATCAATGCTATTTTATAACAAAACACATCAAATTGTATAATACTTTTATAACATCGACTTTCAGTATATTATATTTGTAACAAATTTCACCAAACATTTTCACTTTCTAAATATTATTCAAATTTAAACTTTTGATTTGAGTTTCCTATAAATTCACATTTGTTTTAAAACACAATTTACTAATAATATTGATATTTAAGATTCATTTTAGAATTATATTTAGTCTGTACTTATTATATAAATATTTTAAAATGCATTTTAAAATGCACTACTATTGTTACACATATTTTTTAAAATTTATCAATAATGTAATAATTGATTGTCTATCTTATCAAAAGATATTTGTAGTGATATTTCTAACAAATGTCAATCAAATAATTTATTAGCTTAATCAAATAATTACTACATTAATCTTGATACTAATTATTTACTAATTTAATCAATCACCCATTTTATTCTAATTAATTCTTATTACAGTAAGTGATATATAACCTTGTTAATTAATTACTAAATATAAATAACTAAACTAATCACAACGTAATGAATAAACATTTCAAAGTATATATGCGGGCAAATAAAAAATGTCAAAAATGATGACAATAATCAATAACAGACCTAATGATGATGTCTGTGAGGGCAGTCTTACTGCCGCTGCCATAAGACATCTTCATTGATGACAGATTACACTCCACTTCGTCGCCGTCACTCTGTATATAGCCGTACATCACATGTAAAAAAGGGATTCAAACAAAACAGACATTAATTTTGATACAAAACAAACTTAAAAACTATTGTCAAGTATTGGTGAGAAAGAGGAGACAAACATCATATAAAACGTATTGAGGATATTGTGAACGCAATACAAATCCTGTGTCACGTTTTGATGGCTTATTTTTGGCCCTCACGGCCGCCGCTAACATATTGAACATGTTTTTATCACTCAAATTAATGTTTAGATATTATTTTCAAATTATCTTTTAATTCATTGACGAGTTTTAAATCCGATAAACAAAACACAACCAAACTTTTAATCAATCGATGAGTTTATAGTTTATATTCAATAAGGAGTTATATTTAAGTCCAAAATCTAGTCGTCTTTATGCATATGATGTGAGATATCATTGGAAATAATTTCCATTTAATACTGTGTGTTATTTCCAATTCATTTATATTCACTGTTAATACATATATATTTAATTACTATAACAATCACTTTGTTTTGTAAAAAATATTCAAATATTGTATAAAAATTGGTGGAAAAATATCACTAAAATCATGACTTTCCTCATAATTATGTGCAAAAATGGCAGAAATTTTCATTTCAATCGTATTATTACTATTAAATACTTGTTATCAGTTAATAAATGTCTGATAATTGTTGCCGTAAATGAGTATATGAATAGCAAATGTGTTCAAACATAAACTATTTATACTATAAATAATTATATTATCTAATAATCAAAATTAAAACTGAGAGTTGTTATGCATAAAAAGTTTGTTTTTAATACTATTTTTGTATAATTTTTGTCAATCCTTAAAGTTTTCATAAAGATGTAAATAGTTTTTATGTGTTTATAATGTGTTTTAACTGTATTTTCTATGTCTTACGTAAATATTAAGATTAAGTAATGAAATGATAACGAAATATCGTTACGAATGACACACTAGTTATACAAATTGTTTTAGATATTAGTTATGATTAACACTTATAAATGTATTGTTATCTCATATAAAGTCTATTGAATTGTTTGCAACACTTGTGTCAAAACAGAGACACTTTTATGACTATTTTGTAAGTTTTACTGCAAATAAATTAACACAACATGAATAATAATTAATCTAATTATTTAATACTTTACCATTATTTGTATATCCAAAACAACAATTCAATAACAATTTACTTAAAATTTTAAAAATTAAACTCAAAATTTATATTATATAATAGTGATGTTTACAGGCATATATCGCTATAACGTTAGTATTATGTACCGTAATGCCAATGATGTAAATTATTAAAGTAACTTTAATTAGATAAATGATTGCGTTAACAGCTAATTCAATTGAACTGACAATTATACTTTAAATGCAATGAATTTATATCATGTTGTATTAATAAACCACCAAATTCAAGGATTGTTTACATTTTATATCTAATTACTAGAAATAATTCTCGGTAAATGTAGTTAAATGTTTTAATTATATCACATCTAATCACTTTTATATAATTAAACAAATTATAAACTTACCAAATTATAAAACAAAATTAACAAAATTTGAGTAATAAGTTGAATAATCACCAAGAACAAGTTTTGTCCAAAAATGAATTGGCAAAGAACTTGTTGAAATAACTATTCAAAATTGATTGTAACAATATATAACTCATATTAATAAGAAATTAGATTTAAATAATGTTATGTTTATTGAGTATATTTTGACAAATCTATTGAAACACATGTTATTCCATGTATTTCTCAATTTCTGTGTCTGTGAAGCCATTGTATGGCATATAATAGTCAACAGAAGCCGGTTTGACGTATGAAGTCGTTTGACTACCTGTCCATAGGTATGGCATTCATGATATATAAACGTCTTATTACTTAATCGCATATAAATATAATATACTTTCCCCTAATTTACATGTTATGCAATAATACTTTACAATGAATTTATTAATAATTTCTTTTAATATTATTAAAATGATTTTCAAGTGTTTTCCATGATTTATTACATCGTGGTATAAAAGTAATAGTTTTTATAAATTTAATATTTAATAAACTAAATGCTCTCTCTCTCTCTCTCTCTCTCTCTCTCTC